ATCCTAGCTATAAGATAAGGCCAGGGACTAATTAACGTATTTAGAAAATTGGGCAGACTAGATGGGCCGAATGGTTCTTATCTGCCGTCACATTCTATGTTTCTATGAAACCCATCATATATCTCAAACACACACACAAAAAAAGTTGTATGCAACACCCAATATATCCCTAAATCGCTATTATGATGTTCTAATGGGAAATAAAAAATAATGGCAGGGTGGAGAATCTGGAAAAGTATTTTTTTTTTTTTTTTTAAAACAGGGAATAGATATAGAGATTTGCAAGATGATGGGAAGGTTTGTCTTTATGTGCTTTTTATCCTACAAAGTTAAAGTGTTTGTGATCAGTTCTCAGTTTGGTGAATACTGTTAGTGTGTTTGATGCATCACTGATGCCACTATTTAAAACAGCTGATCCCTGCAATAAATTTGTAATCCTGCTGGTAGTGTAAGAGTTAAAGGATTAGTGTCATTCATTTCACCTGTTATCACAGCTTGTTACATAATTGCAGGAAATCCACCATATGCTCTCAGCAGGGGCAGATAAGCCTGAAATCTGCTGGCTAAACTGGATACAATTGAGAACAGATCATGGAACTGTTTAATACCTGTTCTAGCTAGTGCATTCAAGTCACAAAACACAATACACAGCAAATTGATGTGACAACCAGAGTGTTATCATGCTAGTTTATTCATTTCACTTCTTGTCATGGTTGGAAGTGTGTACACAACAGATCACCAGATGCTGGACAACTCTCATGATGCATTGCCAGCCTAAATGTAATACCACGCCATCGGCGGATCTGGCTGTAGAGACCAGCATGGACATCCAACCCAGACTAGTGTCACAGGCAACGCACACGTTAACTTTAATTTCATTGCAAAGTTACACATTTAAAACCTGAGGCACTGAGTACAAGTTGTGTTCTAGCACAAGACTTTCATCAACTTTATTTGTTAATAACCATATCTAGAGTCAATTGTGTGTGTATATATATATATATATATATATATATATATATATATATATATACATATACATATACATACACACACAAAAATCACAATAGTTTCTGGCACTCATCCCATAGCAAAAGCATTAATTCAGCAATGACCAGGTGCCTCTCCGTGCAAAATATACAAATGGAACAAATTGAGAGCACTCATTGGATTTAGTAAACAAAAAAATATATTAAATCAAACGCATATAAATCAACGTTTCGACCGTCTAGCGGTCTTTATCAAGATGCTATGACATGTGAAAATCTCAAATATATACAATCTAATGTGTTAAACTTACCCAATCACCAAGTGCACCCTGTTTGTCCGGTCTGCTCTGTGAATAGAGCCGCAAACCGAGGACTGTCAAGCATACTGCCGAAAAGTGACATAAAGCACAGCCACCAAGTGTTGCCTAGAAACGGCAAAGTTGTTTTAAAAGAGAAAAAAATCGGAGTAAAATTAAAAGCATGTATGGAGGAAAAAGAAATAAAGTTTGATTACATGGTCTTAAATGTATATGAGTGTGGAATGGTAAAGACAGCAGTATGAATTTTTTTTTTATTTTTTTTCTTTATTCAGCATGCATACACACATTAACCTGTTCTGGCTAACCCATTTTCATTCATACTGCTGTCTTTAACATTCCACACTCATATACATTTAAGACCATGTAATCAGACTTTATTTCTTCCTCCTCCATACATGCTTTTAATTTTACTCCGATTTTTTTCTCTTTTAAAACAACTTTGCCGTTTCTAGGCAACACTTGGTGGCTGTGCTTTATGTCACTTTTCGGCAGTATGCTTGACAGTCCTCTGTTTGCGGCTCTATTCACAGAGCAGACCGGACAAACAGGGTGCACTTGGTGATTGGGTAAGTTTAACACATTAGATTGTATATATTTGAGATTTTCACATGTCATAGCATCTTGATAAAGACCGCTAGACGGTCGAAACGTTGATTTATATGCGTTTGATTTAATATATTTTTTTTGTTTACTAAATCCAATGAGTGCTCTCAATTTGTTCCATATATATATATATATATATATACATACATACATATACACATACACACACACATATATATACACATACATACATATATATATATATATATATATATATATATATATATATATATATATATATATATATATATATATATATATATATACACACACACACACACACACACACACACATACACATACAAAACCGAACCAAAAAATAAAAATGAATCAAGTCAGATGTTTAAAAATTTAAAATCCTTGGTATCACACAAAGCCAGGATAGTCCCACGATGGTTTGACGGTGTAAGAGCCTTCACACATGTATTGATCTATTAGATTCTGATATAATTTGATCAGATATGGAGGGGATTCACACTATCCTAAAAGATGCATTTTCCAGCAACATTTGTTAATCTAAAAAGGTCTGTATAGTGAACACAGTACTTTTACTAGCAAGAGCTTTTGGTTGTTTTTCACTTTATGCTCAAATGTAAATGCTTCAAAAATAAAGAATTTAAACACTCATCCATTCCTTTAATAACCCATCTGAATTTTAGGCCCATGCCTCTACAATTTGTTGTGCATACATCTGCCAGAATTATTTACCATTTGTCATGATTCCCCACTCCAACGAATCTATCAGTTACTTTATTTGATCTGACACTTCTCCGAGCAGAATGCTCACTCCAACTTTACTTTCTACCCCTCACTATTAAAATTGTGAGGTTAAGCAACATCCAAGGCTCTTTCAAGCATTCCTCCCAGGGATACATTTGAAATTTCTGCTCAGCACAAAGTTAAAAAATAAAATAAAAATAAATCAGTATCCTTCCAACCAATTTGACACTAGATTTCCCCATCACAGTGCAGACACCTAAAGTTTTAGTGCATCACCTAAAGTCTGTTTCCTGAACTTATTGCTTAGACGTGAACAGGTATTCTGACAATGTCCATGCCCTTTCATTTTTCAGAATTTGCACCCATTAGCTGAAAAACTTTATCCTTCACTGGATGTGAAATCAGATTTCACATTCAAAATAATCTTCAGGTACAAACCATTTAAAAAACAAAATATGACTAAGAAAAATGAAGACACCCAGTAAGCCTTGAGGAACTCTGAGGGCTGTCCAAAACATCTTTATTAAACATCAGACAAAGATCTGGTGAATGCTATGTGGGAATCAACTCCACTAAATAGGTTTGTAGAGTTGGTGTACTGTGATTGGCAAATCTCTGGGCAGATTTATACAGAATTCTGCAGGTTTCTAGCACCCAGAGTGCAAGCCATTCTTAATAGGAGTGTATTATGTTTGGAATGTTTTACAGTGTTCTATTTTTATGTGAGAGCACCAGAACAAAATAAGTACTAAATATAAAAGCAGTCTGCCCACACAGGCTCTCCAGAGGGCACTTCAGCTTTAAAATAGAAATAAAAGATGCCCTATGTGTTTTCCACAGCCACGACTTGGAACAAAAAAATAAAAAAAAAGGAAAAAAAAAAGAAAAAAATAAAAAGAAAAAAAACACACAAAAGTACAAACAGCAGGCATTCACAAGTCACAAAACATTTCTATCTCAGGATACTGCAGTTTACAAGCTACTTCGTAATGGGCTCTAAAAATAGCAACTTCCTTCCAAAAAAAACAAACAAAAAAAAAATGGGTTTCTAAGGAAGGTTTACAGTACACAAGTTTTCTAGTCACTGCATGAGAAATATTAATATGGCATATGGGGAGGGAAAGGGAAGAAAATAAAAATGTAGAACTGGCATAAACATGCAAGCAGGCCGTCTAAATTTGCATAACATACAATGCTCAGCCACAAGTCTTTTATAGGTCAAGAGTGCCAAGATGCCAAAGTAGACAGATGTTGGTTTGTATTTCACTTACCTTCATGGCAAGAGAAATACTGGGAACCAAAAAAATATAAAAAACTCTGTTGCCAGATAAGTGGCTAGACATTGGTCAGAAGAATCCTACAGACATGAGTGTTCAGTTTAAGACTGGATAATTAACAAAAAGAAGTAGAGGCTGTTTCCTTTGAGGAAGAGCTCTAGATACTGCACTGAACCTGTGCCAGTGAGATTTACAGCTGTAATGCAATTCTATGGAGATGTTAATTTGTATATCCCAAGGGTCATTCAGGAGATTGTAGAAACATGATTTTATCGTACAGGTATCCAAGTTGGACCTGTCACGGAGGTCAGGTTTGTGATAGGTAATGTACAACAGTAAGTTTGATTTTGCACCACTGGGAAACTAAGTTTTCTCCTAAAACACACAAGAATTAAAAGTTTAAAATTTAATGTAGTTTTGTTAAAAGCGGCTACCAAATAATCAATGGCAGGGCAAGTACGCGTTGGTTCCAATGACCATAAAGTTACATCAGTGGTGTAGTTCAGATTAACTGACATTTACGCTTTGTGTACTCTGTAGCATGTATTAAACTATCAATTGACATTACAGTAACACTAAACATATCCCACACCAAGTCTCATTTTAGCAGCTGTGTGCTACCAGCCTTTAAATTATGCCATCTTCTCTAAAATATCAGATGGTCCATTCCGTGCAAGACCAAGACCTATGAAAAACAATAAATTGGCTACACAGATGTAGTAAAACGTACACATGTAGTCTGCAAGCCATATAAATTAATCTAGCTACAAGAGATTACGTTATTCTCTGGTCAAGAAAATGGCATTTATATTGTGCACTACCTCTAAAAAAAGGACTAGAGTACTAATAACCAGCACTCAATTTTGCCCCGAAATTTCACCTTTCAGCAGTTATATACCATCCATAGATAAATATTGATTTTATGTTGATATATGCTCAATACATTTGTGTGGGTAAATGCTCAGCAATAAGAATCACCGATAGATTAATACAGATAATCAAATTATTTCAGGCCACAGAAAGCACCATTTAGGATTTCAAAGGATAACAGAAATAGTCTTAAATTATTTTCTTTATTATATTTTCCAAGTGTGCAAACAATCAGAACAGTGAAGTTCTTAAGAAAAAAAAATATATATATACACAAAATATATACAAGGTGAACACCAACATATTTTCTTTTGCACAGCAAAGATAACATTTATATATGTGACCACTATGTACAAAAAATATATATATTTACATATATGAAAACACTGGCAAAATACTTCACAACAGTGCAAGGATTACAAAACCCATCATGGAATGTCATGAAACTTGAATAGGCAGTATCCCTATGGGCCATTTTCAAAATGAAAATAAAGTGTAAACATAAAAATGTACCAGATTTCCAAGTCCATTTGTGGAGTTGTGGCAGGTGGCTAGGTGCTACTAAGCTATACACACACTAAAGCTTCTTTTATCAGAGGAAAGGAATAATAAAAAAAAAAAAAAAAGGACTGCACACACCTAACTAATCATTCTGCTTGATGAACCTGGAAAAGTGTTTGGGAAATACCTGGCAAAGGAAGGTTTAATAAGGGCAAAGAAGTCAGTTATGTAATCATGTTTGGATATTGCCAATCTACTACTGCAAGGGGTTAACCAGAAATGGAATACAGGATATTAAATGAAAGTACAGAGGATATAAATAAGGATAGCACAAATTAAAAAAAGTGTGTGGCTTGGTTTCAGACAGACATTCAACGAAAGCAGCTTCAAATGCAGTTCTAAAGAAGTAGGTCAGGAAGAGCTCTGGGCCACTAACTTTGTCTATTATAGCCTGACGGACTACAATGCAGTGTCTTTTGAAATATTTTTTGTAACGTCTATTAATTTAGTCTAATTTGGGGCCATCTAAAATAAAACTACAACTCCCATGATTCTTTGCCAAACTAAAGTTGCAGCAGGGGGGTGGGGAAGGGTATGATTTTAATTTGTCAAGATTATAGTCCTATTGGCTATGAGCACAGGAGATGGAATTGCAAGATACCTTTTACTGTATTGTCATAGCTCATTACAAAGCAGTCAAGTAGAGGCGATAGATTACCAGGAGTGATTTGGTAATCTAATAAACCATAAGTGAATGAAGCTATTTGGCAACACCTGTTCAAGTGCACAAGATATATTTCTATACTGGTAAACCCAATAGCAGGGAGCAACAGTGAATTGCATAGAAGACATCAGTCATTCTGAAGCAGGGTGTCCAGAGGTTTCACTTCAGCTCTCAAATCTCTGAGCTAAAAACTGACAAAGAATTAAGGGTGTTAAAAAAATGGGCCTACACTTCAACTCCCCTCACTTAAAAAGTTGCAAATTGCATCAATGTATGTCTCTTCATGCCTAGCAAAATAAAATGCTAGAGGTTCTCTTTTTCATTAAAAAGCTCAGTGTACCAAATAAAGTGAAGGATGGCAGCAGTTCACCTTTTGTGTGCCTCAACTCACATGTGCAAACATTGCATGGAACCAAAAGGGAAATAAAGAGTGGAAAGACTAGGAGTAACAAGGAACATTTCAGTCATCTTGTGCTCAGCCCACAAAGCTTCCAGCATTGCACAGACTCTACTCCTCTCAGATTCCAAGAAACAAGGGCCCTGATGATTCCTAGAACCAGCAGTAGCACTGGGGCCCAGGTAAAGGAGACCGTGAAAATGTTCCCCCCTCATGAATGGCATTTTCTTGCTAAAATTTAGAGAATTAGAAACTGCACTACAGTTTTATTTTTGTACAAGAAGGCTACTTCTCTGGGCTACTCCAAGTTTCCTAGGATTGAACATTTAGCAAGGGTACAGGAAAAAAAATAAAATAAAAAAATTCAGTGCCAGAGGGCCCTCAGCAGTATGAGCAATGAGTTTTATCCCAATAATAAAAATTGACAGTTACCAACTTGTTTTCATCCCATTTTAACAGATTTGATTGCCAGTGTCAGCTATGTTCTGGCAATGCTAAGTTTATTACTTGTCTGCAGGGATCATAAAGGGGACAGCTTGCACCAAAATCAAACCTTACATTAGACCTTATAGTGCCTATTGCACAAACCCTCAAATTACATGATATTGCCATTTAACCCAGTCAGTACTGGAAGCTTAGGCATTGCACATTCGTCCCAAGCGCCTTTGCACACCAAAGTTTAGCTCTGGCAGTCAGAACATTACACACTTATAACTTAGAGTAAATGATAGTTAAATAGTCCTTTTATGCTCATAGACAAACAGATCAAGATCTAAATAATTTGAGCCACGACTTGTTACCCCTGAGCCAAAGTTAAACACTCATACTGTGCTGTCATCTATTCACTAAACTGGGAGTTGTACAAACACTTAAATTGCACATTTAACACAAATTTTAGAGCTGCAGATCTCCCCTCCCCATTCAACAATTTCAGGGTTAAAGAAAAAAAAAAAAAGAGAACATTTTTTTTTAATTTGTCACAATACCCACTTTAGTGATTAAACCCATGAGTGACTGACTGGATCTCACATTCTACAATAGACCGCCAGAGCAGAATAGACACTCACATCCACACTGTCACGGTTATTCATCGCTAAACTCTGGTTTGTAGCAAACTGCAATCTAAGTGTGATATTGAGACAAAAATATCCTAACTGTTACTTTATTCAAGTTGGACAGTTTTTCTAAACTAGCTATTTTTGTCTCAATGTTTGCCACTTGATATTGCGTTTTCTAAAATGTGGAGTTTAGTGAACAACTGACTGGGTTTTGTTCAGACATTGAAATGTAACAAATTGAAAGCAAAGTTTCAACATTTAGGCTATAATAGCCAAGGTTGGATTAGAATAAAGTTGTAGTTTTTTTTTTTCTAAATACGGCTTTTAAAAAAAAAAAAAAAAGATTTTAACGTAATTTTTTTCCTTAACTTTGTTCTAGTACAGTTTACAAATACCAATAGATTATTATGCATTAACCCATTTGATGCCAAAAACCTTGGGGGGCTGGGGGGAATTTGCCCTCTATAACAGGAAGACATCTGCAAAGAAACATTGGCCAAATTTTTCATGATTGGTAGGAAAAAGAAAAAACAGGGGAAGAAGCCAGGTAGATTCTTGCCCCACATTTCTCATGGATAAAGAGTCTCAAAAATCAATGCAGAGGCTTTCAATGAAAGAGCTATTCCTGCCATGATAAATATGACAAGGGCTATTCGAAAAAAACTAAACAAAACACCTGCCAAGGTCCTATGGCAACAGTTATGGTGTCTGACTGAGCCAGCCATCTCCTCCTGACAGTCATTCTGTCTGAGCCCAACATATGGCTAATAAAGCCCTGCCATTAGGTGCTAGGGTTGTTTTTTGTGTGTGTCATCTGGTCCATTGATGACCCCGGTCCCATCCTCCCTCCATCTTCATACAGTCTCTGGCTCCCTGAATTCCTCAAACCCATTGCTGATGGGTCCACAGTCCTGGTTGCTCTCTATGGAGGACTCGCTGCCCGTGCTCTCCCCAGACAGCAGTCTAGTCACTCTCAGGTCAGCTTTCAGAGTCTGCAGGTCATTGCCCAGAGTCATCTCCCCCAGGTCACTGATCAGCTGGGACAAGTGATGCTTCCCCACCACCACCACCTCCTCCTCCCCTCCATCATCTCCCCCATCCCCTCCACCCCCGGTGTCCAGCACGTCCTCACACTCGAAGCTCATGGCCCTCTCCTCCTCCTCCTCCCCCAGCAGGTCCTCGGTGATGGAGCCCAGCTTCGGGGCGCTCCGGCTGCGCTCCACGGGGGGTTTGTAGCAGCACTGCCCGTTGAGGAGCTTCCTGAGCGGGACCAGGGGGATGCTCTGCTCGCCGATCAGCTGCTGCTGCTGGTGTCGGGCGTCCTCCCTCCTCTTCAGCCGCTTGAACTCCGCCAGGGCGTTGGCCGAGGTCTGGTAGAGCAGCAGGGCCATGGCCTTGGCTTTCTCGGGCTTGGACACCAGCACGGCGTGGCAGCGCAGCATCACCGCCTTGTGCTTCATCTCGTGGCGGTAGATCCAGGCGAAGACCCGGGGCAGCCGGGGGTCGGCCACGCAGTAGGTGACCCGGTGCAGCAGGTAGAGGTGGCCCGGCCGCTTGGCCTTGTCCTCCACGTGGACCATGCGGATCCCCTGCGAGCTGACCGTCAGCTTCATCTTGGTGCCGTGCTTGCCCATCTCGCTCTTGCTCCAGATCTTGCACACCGCCAGCTCCGTGCAGCCCTCGCCCTTGGACTGCAGCGTGGTGGCGTTGCCCAGGTAGAGCACGGTGTAGGTCGGGTCCTCCCCGGTGATCTTGATCTTCTTCCTCTTGGACTTGAACATGCTGCCCACCCGGGTCAGGGCGCCCTCCGGGCACGACTTGGCCAGCGAGGTGAGGGCGCTGTAGTTGAGGCTCACCGCATAGCCCTTCTGCTTCGCCTGCTTGCCGTCCTCCTCGATCAGGTCGAACTTGTTCTTCTTCCAGGGCAGCATGTCGCTGCGGGGAGAGCGGCTGGGTGAGGCGGGCTGCGATGCGCTGCACTGTGGGCGCCTTTACAGCATCGCCTGGAGCTCGGGCTGCGGTGTGTCAGTGCTGCGCGGCTGGGAGCGCTCATTGCACGCACGCTGCACTCCTCACTGCCGGCCGCTAGCTCGCCGCCGCTTCAATACAGCCGGGCTGGCAGGAGCAGCGCTTAATATAGGGTGGAGTGAACCATTATCTGCTGAGGAGCGGGGGAGGAAGGGATAACACACTGCTCATTGGTAACCCTTTCAATGGTGGGGTTTTTTTTTATATCACTCAGCATCACAGGCACTCATAAATCACCTGGACATGCAGACACATTTTATCCTATATATACATTCATTTTAAATGCCTCCTGTTGAAAACCATAAAACAATAAAAACAATGGAGCATTGGAGCTGTAAATGCAGAATTGATCATATTACTTGAAAAAATATCTCTATATACAGTCTAAGGTTATTATAAGTGATTGTTTAAGCAGAATACTCCGATAAATGAACTGAAATGTAGCTTTATGCTTTTTTTTTTCTATTGGAGAATCTGAAGCATTGCTGGCTGTGCTCTCTGAATGGAATCAGCCAGGATGCTAATTTAATTAAATTATTCATAACAGTTGTCAAACTGGCCAAGTAGTGCCAAGCCAAATATAGTTTGAGCTTCATTTTCAGTAATTTGACATGACATTTAGAAAATAACATGTCCCTCTATTCTTTCTACTGTTGCCACAGATCTCTTTCTATAATATTGCGTTTTAATAGAATTATAACCAAACTGTATAAAGCAGTTCCTTTTTACTAGGCCTATTTCAGCAGTAGTTTGCTCTCTCTAGACATGCAAGCAATTTGTGTTCTTACCAAAATAATATAAAAAGATACACATTAAAAAAACAAAATATGTGCTTTCAGCTAATAGGAACAGGCAGCACTGATGTTCTTTGGGTCAAACCATGTTGACAACCCAGTCCCTTTTTAGTGACAGTCTGGCAGGGATAGCTATTAAAAAACATCACTGTCTGTCCATGCTCATTGCGCATGATGGCTGGTTGGTGTGTAATGCTTAGAAGGTCACATGGGACTTGTCAATGTGCATACGGTTAATACATAGGGTTATTAGCTCAATTCACTTTGAAATCAAAGAAATTCACATTTTAGTAACTAATAGTGTATAAATCTTGCATGAGCCAACACACATCCGAACTACATGCTAATTGAAAAGGCTTCCATGCCAACATTGGGTGGCATTCATCCACCATTGGTGCTCAAATACTTATATTTAACAGCATAAGGAAATGTAAAGAATTAATTGACATGTTGACAATTAGCGTACTTTCATTCATTGAAATAAAATGAGAAAAATTGGTATTGGTTCCTGGCAATGATCAAAAAATTGATTGCTGCCAATAGCCAATGGGCAAAGGATCACTGTGCCCACCTTTGTGCATCCTTAGTGTTCACACTTTGCACAGTCAAAAAAGCTCTTTGAAACATATACTTTATATGTATTCTCGGTGATTGGATATCAGTCTTGTAATGCACCATTTAACAAGAATTATTTTACTTAAGAACTTCGCTTTCTAAAACTTCACTTTTATTTTAATTAAATCCATGCATTACACAAAATAAATATACTGATGATATCAAACACATAAAAAAACATGTACCCAAAGGCTTTCCTGTTGGAATATTTGAGCCAAGTCTAAGCTACCCAATAGCTCTTCCCAAGTGCATTGAACAGGGCACCTGTTGAATAGATCCCAAAATAGTGGAGAATTATAGACAATTTCATAAGTAAAAACATGCATACTCATTTAATCAGGTTTATTCAATGTTCAGGATAATGTCAAGAATTGACTAGGAAAGGAAAAAAAAAAAAACTATTCCCATTTCAACGATAGGTACCATGCTCCTTGGTTATGATTTGAAATTCCTTAGTTAGTTCCTGTTTATTGAATAATCCTGAACAAAACACTGTCAGAGATATCTGAAGACAACAGAAGCCATAATATCTAATAAGCTATAATATTTCAATTTAGTGTAACCTGTGATATTTAATGGCCATTTTTTTCATAAAAACGGTTTTATTTTTCCCTATTGCTCAGTTTTTGTTAATACATTCCACTTTGTAGCAAAACAAGAAATCGGTAACATACATATATTTATAGATACATTTATTTGTTAAGTGGATAGATTTCACTCAAGTAAGATTTAAGAATAAATGAAAAGTGAATTTAAAATGTAAGACTAAAATAGTCTAACTGGAAGCATACTTCACTTTCCCATTTCTGCTACTAGGACCTCAAATTTGAAATTCACTTTAAATTAACTTTGAATTCTCCCTTTAGTGAATGACCCTATTAGAGTACAAGCTTTCTAGGCTGGCCTGGTGATCATTGTGGTCACATAACCCTGGAGGACCAGAGAGGTAGAGTTGAGTTGCAGGGGGAGTGCCTGGGTTGTTAGGCAGTACCCCCGACCGGGATCGTCTAGGTAAGTGCAGAGAGCCACAGCGGGTGGTGGACAGCTGGATGTACTATGCTGCCCTGCGGTGTTTAGAGCTGCCTCCTTAATGACGGCCGACCGTCCTTAAAGGACCACTCTAGGCACCCAGACCACTTCAGCTTAATGAAGTGGTCTGGGTGCCAGGTCCAGCTAGGGTTAACCCATTTTTTCATAAACATAGCAGTTTCAGAGAAACTGCTATGTTTTATGAATGGGTTAAGCCTTCCCCTATTTCCTCTAGCGGCTGTCTCATTGACAGCCGCTAGAGGCGCTTGCGTGCTTCTCACTGTGATTTTCACAGTGAGAGCACGCCAGCGTCCATAGGAAAGCATTATGGATGCTTTCCTATGTGACCGGCTGAATGGCCATACATTCAGCCGGCGGGGCGGATCGGAGGCAGAGAGGAGGAGGAGAGCTCCCCCCCAGCGCTGGAAAAAGGTAAGTTATTACCCCTTTCCCCCTTCCAGAGCCGGGCGGGAGGGGGTCCCTGAGGGTGGGGGCACCCTCAGGGCACTATAGTGCCAGGAAAACGAGTATGTTTTCCTGGCCCTATAGTGGTCCTTTAAGGGGTTAATTGCCAGACTCTTAATAAAAAAAAGACTGCATTTTCTAAAGAAATACAATTTGTGTGGTACTCCTATCATTAAGACTGTGTGCTTATATGGTCCCACCAGGTCACAACACATACACACATGTGCGCGTTATGGCAGTCAGGTAATACGTGCTGATAACTGAAGGACTAAGGTGACATGGTACTTTTTTTTTTTTTTTAGGATATTTTACCAGAAATCAGCATATATTGGCATTGTTGCATTTGTACAGCAGTACAGAATATGATCTCCTATCATCAGATTATTACCTTTTTTTTTTTTTTTTAATATTACAACAAATAATTAACATTTGCTTAAACACGAATATACATCACAAAATTATTTTTGCCATGGTAAAGGTTTTTTGCTGTGAGCTTTGAAATTGCTCTTTAGTGAATGAGCGAGTACGCTGGATCTTGTATGTTGTAGCACCCTTATAGTTACATGTATACATATTTGCTAACAAGCTAGTTTTAAAGTACAACCCTAAAGCCACTTGGGCAAAGAAAGTGTGGTTGTGTGTACAGGTTGCTTTAAGAATGTAATTTAAAACTAGCTTGTTAGCAATGATGGCACTGTATGTCCAATGGCTGGTTTTGTACAAGTGCACAACCAGTACAGTCTGTCCTAGAATGTACTGGGGATCATTGAAATAGTTTTATCACCTTTC